CTGTCCGTGCCCCGCTCCCCGGGCTGTCCGTGCCCCGCTCCCCGGATTGTCGCCTCCTGCCCCACTTGTGAATCGAGGCTGCCCGCCCCAGGGGACTGACAGGGGACTGACAGGGGACTGACGGGCCCGGGCGACCGCGCCAGGCGCTGGAACACTCTGCACTGCACTGGAGACCTCCCCGGCCTCGGAAAGCTCGGCCCCCTCGGTCCGCTGCGCCTGGTTCTCTGCGGTTCTCTGCGGTTCTCTGCGGTTCTCTGCGGTTCTCTGCGGTTCTCTGCGGTTCTCTGCGGGTGTGCCAGGCCAGCCCGTGCTGCCTGTGGCACGGCAGAATCCGAGACCGACCTACCGACTCATCCCTGGAAGCGTTCAAGGCCAGGCTGGATGGGGCTCGAAGCGACCCGGTCCAGTGGAAGGTGGCCCTGCCTGTGGAAGGGGAGTGGAACTGGATGAGCTTTAAGGTTCTTTCCCATCCAAACCGCCCCATGATTCCATGATCCCACAGGCTCCCTGTGGCACGGGCGGGCTGAGTCTGGCTGTTCTCAATCAGCTGCCCAAGGCTTTTCTGGAGCAGCAGCACTCGCCCTGGCAGGCCTGGCATACGCAGACTGTGGTCAGAGTTTGGAGTGACACAGGGTTTTACTGCCCAGGGTGGAGGTCACTGATGCCTGCATGGCACCTGGCAACTGCCTGTCAGTTGTCACTTGTGCAAGAGTATGCTGTGCAAATAAGGTCTCCTGTTTTCCCTGTGGGTTCAGATTATTCCAATTATGACTCAGGCCCTTCTGCAAGTGTGCCAGTAATGCTTAGGGAGCAAATCCCAGGGAAGAGTTGAAAATAACCCTGAAAAGCATTAGCTCAGTGTGAACAGTGCACACCTTAGCTATTCCCAGCTCTTTCTTAACACACCATCTCTGTGGTGCAGTTGCTTTCCAGTCACCCCAGCTTGGATCACAAGTGCTGACTTAAGTTGTCCCTGTACTGGCAGCCTGCTGCTGCAAATGAGATGCCAAGGAGTTTGGCTTTGCTTGCACTGGGGCAATCTGCAGATTTTGATCTGAGTGTGGCAGTGAATGCTGCTGCTCTTCACATGTGCCAGCAGCTCAGGTGGATGAGATGAATGCTGCACAGAGAAGATTTTGTTTATAATGAAACAGATGCGACCCATCTGTTTTTGCAGACAGAAATGAGGCCTGCAGCATTCTGTGCAGGTGTGCAGGAGCTGTCTGTCTATGCTGACATGGCCTGGACTTCCAGGGCTGGAGGACTAAAGCTTCAAGGGTGAACCGCCCACTCCTTCTGTTCCTCTTATGAGAGTGTCACAGAGCCAGGAGAGTGTCCTGCTGGGGGCAGGGGACAACACTGCTGCTTGAAGCCATGGGTGGGGTGGGTCCTCCAGGGCTAGGTGTGGGGCTACTGGCACTTGGCTTCTAAGAGCTTTTGTCTTTGCAGAGCTTCCTGAGAGCTGGGCTGATATGCAGGAGCCACTGCTTGAAGGGATGTGCTTCACCCTTAAGTATCTGGGCATGACACTGGTAGAAAAACCAAAAGGAGAAGACATGGCTGCTGCCGCCATCCGCAGGATCGTGGCCACGGTGAGACCCAGTCCCGGGGCCCTGCTCTGTTGGGGTCACAGCCCAGCCCCTGGATTCTGGGAAGTGTCTGTGTCCCAGCCCCGAGCTCCAGTGAGGGACTGTGCTCTTCCCAAGAGAAGGGTGGTATGCAGGAGGTTACTGGTGTGTGCCTGTGGGCTGTGGGGCAGCTGCCTTCCTGCAGGACAGCCCTGGCCACCTGCTCCCACACCTGAATGCTGCTGGGAGCAGAGCTCTGCCTGCTACAGCACAGAGATGAGCAAGAAGTACTGGGGGAGGTGAGGTCTGTGCCTTCCTGTGTATGTGGCAGTAGTGTGTGAACAGATTGGAGGAGTGTTTGTGCAGGGCAGGCCTGATTGCCAGGCTCTGGTGTTCCATCCCTGCAGCAGGAGCCTTTTCAGCAAGTGTCCAAATGAATGATATTGTGCAGAGTCTGGCAGGCTCCTTCCCATAAGGGGGTGAGGTGAAGACCCTTGCCAGGTTTGCAAAGATTGCTGGTGTCTTTCCACTTCCAGGCAAGGGCAGGAGCACGCAAGTTTCAGAAGGTGATTCTGACAGTATCTCCGAGGGGCATCTCGCTGCAGGATGCAGACACAAAGGAAATGGTGGAGAACATCTCCATCTACAGGTGGGCATGTCATGGGGGTGGGCCGGGTGTTCTCCAGCAGAGACCAATGACAAGTTGAACAGCCACGGAGGGCTGGGCCTTCTGTCAGCAATACCTTCAAGCTTAGTTCTTTCCTTGGCTCTGTACCGTCTCTCTGCTGTGCCCCCAGTACTGCCTGATGCTGAGTGTGGGCAGGGTCCTGGGTAGCCTTGAGTTCATCTGCCCATCCATCACTTCCCTGCACCCTGCTTGTCTATTCTGGCATTCAGCAGGATGTTGAGACTGGTGGTTCAAAAACCCCCCAGGACACGACTGCATGTCTGCCTCAACTGCCGTGGGACCACCCTTCTGGCTGCAGGATGCCAGAAACTTCCGCTTTCTTGGGCAGGCTAAAGGCAGTTGCTGTAAGAGCTGATGTTGATTTCTCCTGCTGCCACCTGTCCTTTGGATGAATGAGGTGTCTGTGGGTGCTGGGTGTGAGGGCAGTCTAGTGGCTAGGTGGGAAGCAGGGACAGGACATCTCTTTGCTGCAAAATTTAGGTCTCAGTGCCAGAGGTGATGTGCCAGGTCAGACCATCCCTCTGCCTGGCCTCCAGCTGTGTCCTTGGAGGCAGTCACTCACCCTTCTCTGCTCAGTTTTGTCCCAGTGCTTGAGTTCACACACTGGGTTGAGTTGGCCATCAGAAAACTACAGGGCACACTGGGGCGGCACAAGAGGGAGTGCCTGTGGCTGCAGTGATCTCTTACCTGCTTCAGGTGCCAGGCAGTCTCTGGTCCTTGCTGGGGGTTTGGGCTGCCTGGTCAGCTCGGGCACATGAAAGTCTCAGGTTGTCAGCAGTGCTTGCTGATTTACTGGGAGAAATCCTGTGCTGGGGTCCTGGATTGTCCTGACAGCTCCTCTCTGTCCACAGGATCTCCTATTGCACAACAGACAAGCTGCAGAACAAAGTCTTTGCTTACGTTGCCCAGAGCCAGGAGAGCGGGGCACTGGAGTGCCATGCCTTCCTCTCACCCAAGAAGAAGATTGTAAGCACTTGCCTTCTGCCCTTGGCTCCGTGAGGTAAGGGTGGGAGCAAGGGCCTGCCTTCTCTCCCTTCTGCAAGAGAAGGCGAAGGCCTCTGCGAACCTCAGATGTATTTGGAGCCAGGGAGCAGGAGTGCTCATATGCTGCAGAGGCAGGGAGTGAGCAAAGGGGGATTCCCCATCCCAGCTCCTGAGGGTTTCCTGTCCCAGCTCCTGAGGGTTTGCTCTTGGGGGTTACTGGCCCCCAAGAGGCAGGCATATGCAGATTTGAGCTCTGGCCTTCCATCTGTGTGTTCTGCAGGGAAAGGCAGCAAGGGATGCTGGCAGGTTTTGGATTTCATGGCAGTGGGGTTTTCCTGGCTTGAGAACCCAGATGGAAACAGGCATTCCCTCTCTTTCATGTTCACAGGCCCAGGCTGTGACTCTGACTGTGGCCCAGGCCTTTCAGATGGCACTGGATCTCTGGGAAGCAACACATGCCGGTAGGAGGAATTTCTCAGATGTGTCCCTCTGGATCAATGTCTCTGGTGTGGGACCCTGTCCTGGGCTGTGTGGAGCAGAGATGGCTTGCTGCCTGGCTGGTGAAACACACCAGGCAGGGAGAGCGTTGTCCTTGTGGTTGTATTCTCTGCCATTCCCCCATCTCAGGCTGGGGTGGGGTTAGAGGTGTACCTGCTCTCCGTATGGAAATGCTGTGCATTGCTGTGCTGTAACCCAGCTCAGGGCCTGGTGCTACCTGCCTTGAGCAATGATGCTGTACCCTTGTACTGCACCACTCAGCACAGCAGGGGTACCCTGTTCCTCACCCACAGTCCTGCCTGTACGTTCCCAGCTAGAGTTTCTCCAGGTTGCAGGCACTAACTGCTGCTTTTGCCCTGTCCCAGGCTCTAGGCAGGATCAGCCCTTTCACCCTTTATGTGTCTTGGAGAGCAGTGGGCCCGGCAGATCCCRTGAGCCAGCCCCTCCAGGGAGCACTCCCTTCAGACACCAGTTTGGGGTACAGTATGTACAAGTCAGGCCCATGCCCTGGACTGTCTGGAATTAGGGCAGGAACAGAGTGACCCTTATGCAACTCCCCACTCGTGCCCTCCCAGCACTCTGTTGATACCTGCACAGTCCCTATTGCACATGGCAGCCTGACGTGTGGAGCTGCACTGTGCTCTGTGGTTCACATAGCAGGTGCAGTTCTTTGGTGTCTGTGCTTCAGGAGCTCTGCTGTCAGGCCCAGCACTGCTGCAGCCTCAGCTCTGCTCTGCTGGCCCTGTCACACAGGGACCTGTGACCTGTGCTACACACCTGGCTTTGTGCCTTGGGATGAAAGCTGGCTCTGAAGGAGAGAATACTAGGATCATCATCCTGCCAGCCTGGGCTAAGGCTCAGCCCAGCCCATCTGCACTGCACCTCCTGCATGGCCACAGCAATTGGAGCATTGTCATGCTGGTCTCACTATGACCCTGCCTGGGAGCTTCTGGATGTTTGGTCCTTGGCATCATGCCTCCAGTGTAGGTCCAGCCTGGCAGTGCTTGGGGTTGTAGCTGCGTCCAGTCTCTGCCTGTCTCTCCAGCTGCAGGGTATGCCCACCTACCACTGTCCCTGGGCACAGGTGCACTGTGTGAGCAGCTGTGTCAGCATGGTCCATGCTCACAGCTTGTGTTTGCAGCTTTGCTCCTGGAGGGGACGTGGGATGTAGGATGTGGGTTGAGCCATGGCCTATCTGTCCTTTTGTACCTGAGCCCAGAGAGTTCTGACAGCCTAACACTCCAGTCTTTCCCCTCTGCCTGTGGGAACCCTTTGTTCTGTGTCTGGGGAGTGACTGTCTTGTGAAGGGGTCAGATGGGTTCTGAGCAGTCCAGAGACCTGCCCATGCAGTGAGATGTCATGGTGGATTCTTGTTTGCTTKCTAGGAGGAGGAGGAGGAGGAGGAGGAGGAGGAGGAGGAAGATGATAATGTCAGTGAAACCTTGTCTGGGTAGGTAGTAAGCTGCTGCTTTCATTCAGGGATCTCTTTGGTGAATCCTGTCTTGTTTCCTTCTCTGTGCCCCATGCAAGGTGAGCTGCTGGGGCCATGGGCATGGTGGGATCATGGATGAGAGCTGCATGAAGCCAATTCCCGCTCTTTCTGTGCCTCTAAGAGCGGAGAACTCAAGTGAACAGAGGGTTGACTATGCAGTCAACAGAGGGGCAGACTATGCAGTCCATCTTTTGCAGCAGAGATTTTGGGGGACAGATGCTGACACCCAGAATGCACCCAGGGATGTTTCTTTCTCTGTTTCTGCCAGTCTTTGCTGAGGCCAGCCTGTCCAGACATGTCTCTCAAATGGGACTCAGAGTTGTCCATCTTCTCCCACTGATYTCCCTGGGGCTTAGACCAGGATGGAGGCCTGGTCATGCTGACTTCTACATGGACTGGGGCTGTGGGCTAAGCTTGATGGTGTGTGTCCTGTGCTGGAGGGGAGCTGATGGAACAGTCCCTCAGCAGAGGATTAACCTGCGGGTCTGCAGAAGTGCTGATGGTGGGCCTGACAGGCCTGTTCTATCATGGCAGCAGGAACCCAGCTGGGCTCTGCCAGGTCTGAGCTTGGGCTGAACCAGTGCCACCCGGAACCTGTGCATGCTCAGACTGGAGCTGTATGTGTAGCCCAGTGAAGCAGCATCCCTTTGGACATGGGGTTCCCCATGGTAAGGAGATACAGCTTTGCAGTCTTGAGACAGGCTGGCCTGGGGAGGGAGTTTGGTAGCAAGGGGCCTTAGGGCCTTCTGCACTCAGTGCCTGGTGCTCCTGTGCCATTCCTGCCTTGTCAGGGTCATGAGCATGCCGTGTCTCTCAGGAGGCTGTGCTTGAGGTATTATAGCTGTGTTCTCTTCCAAAGCAGCATGGAAGAGCTGGGAAGGAGAGCCCACAACCCAGCAGGTAAGTTCCTTCATTGCTGCCTCAGCTCATCCCCCATGGGAGGCTGATGCTCACCTGGGAAGGTCTGCTTCTCCTTGCAGGCTGTGCCGGGCTCCTAGCTGCATGGATCATGGCCCGTGTCTTCCTCTTTCTCACTTTCCAGAATTAACACCTCTTGTGCCCCAGTCGAGCTCTCCTACAGCACAGCTACTGTGCTACGGCCTGGGGCAGCCCCCGGACAGCTGGACAGAGCAGGGGGGGGTTGGAGACCTCCYCACCACAGGCCCCAGGATTGCTGGCCCCAAGACTCCCCTGGGCTAAGCCAAATCTCTGCAACAACGGATCAGCCACTCAGGATTCACCCTGTGCCTGCACCAGGGTCAGCCAGTGCCTGCCCTGCCCTGGCACTGCCCTCTCGACACAGGGCTGCTGGCACTGCTGCCATGGAGTGCAGAGGCTGCAACACCAGCTCCTTGTCCTGTGCCGTCTGCATGAACTGCCTCGAGCTGCACCTGCTCCCAGCTTGGGCTGGGGACCCATGCTCCTCCCAGGCCATGGGACCCATGCTTGTCCCCCTGCTCAGGCCATGGGACCCATGCTCCTCCCTGTGCTCAGGCCATGGGACCCATGCTCCTCCCTCTCCTCAGGCCATGGGACCCATGCTCCCTCCCAGGCCATGGGACCCCTGCTCCTCCCTCTCCTCAGGCCATGGGACCCCTGCTCCTCCCCCTCCTCAGGCCATGGGACCCATGCTCCTCCCTGTGCTCAGGCCATGGGACCCATGCTCCTCCCTCTCCTCAGGCCATGGGACCCATGCTCCCTCCCAGGCCATGGGACCCCTGCTCCTCCCTCTCCTCAGGCCATGGGACCCATGCTCCCTCCCAGGCCAGGCAGGACCACCCTGAGTGCTCTGAGCCTGCCCAAGGCAGCCAGTGTACATCCTCAGGGAGCAATAGCTTCTTGGCCTGGAGCAGTATATGATGAAGGCCTTGCCCTGCAGTTCAGCCCTCTACCCTCTCACGAGTGAAATGAGCTGGTTTTTAAAGGAAAGCTCTGCCTTTATAGAGAAATAAACTGAGGTTTTTTACTGTTCTCATTTGGGTTGAGTGCTGGATAGGTGCCATGCATCAACACGCAAGGTACTGTGTCTGTTCCACTGCCTGTGGTGAGGATTGCTGTTCCCTGAGCTCATGGAGCCTGGAACTCGCACATCTTCCTTGGCTGTGAGTCCCGAGGGAGCTATTCCTCCTGTGCTGAGGGCTGCCAGGGCCCAGGGTGCCTTTGTGACCTGGAAGAAGCAGATTCAGGCTGTACTATACTGGTGTCTTAAGCATCAATGAATGTGACCCGCTGGGGATGTGACTGATGGGAGCTGATGCTGACCATGCTGAGGCCAGGGCAGACACAAGCCCTTGTGTGCCAGCAGGTCTCTCTCCCCAGCTTGCCTGCTCTGCTCTGAAGTGTGTCTGCCCTGGTGCACCCCAGCTGTGCTCTACACAGGCAAGCCGTGCACTTGATTTCCTTCCCCAGACAGAGCAGGGGAGGCTGCAGCCATCAGGATGTCTGGTTTCTCTGGCAGTTAACAGCTTATAGCTGTGTTCTGGCTGAGGCACTTGCTGCTGGGCTCTTGGCACATCTCCACACAGCTGCCCTCAGGCTGTTGCTGACCGCCCAGCCAAGCACCAATCCCTGGCTGCAGCTGGGGTGGCATCTCCCAGCGGATGTCACAGGCACTGGGGACTCCTGGGTTGTCATGGGTCAGTCAGGAGCTGTGCAGAGTTTTTTGCACTTATGGTTTGGCAATAAAAAAAAAACAAACAAAACACACACATTTTTTTTCTCAAAAAACTCTCTCAAAATCAATAATAAAAAAACCTACCTACTCTCTCTAAAATTACTCATTTTTCTACCTTTCTTTAAACTCATTTTTCCTCAATTTTTTTTTTTCTTCATCATCTAAAAATTAAAAAATTCTCATAACACAACAAACAAAAAAAAATCCTTCAATAAACTATCAAAAAAAACTCTATCTAAAATACACCAATACTCTAAAATACTCTATAAAAATACACCATATAAATAGCCATATCCCCAAAAATAAAACTAATAAAAAACACCAAAATAATAAACAAATAAATCAAACCACAAAAATAAAAATATCACAAATAAATTTAAACTAAAAACACAAAAAAAAATATTTCTAACCCAATAAACCCATAATACCTCAAAACATCAAAACAAAAATACCACATATAAATAACACAAAATCAAAAAATAAATCTAACCATAAACAATATCTCCCAAATTATCCATAACTATAAAACATACACTACCATCAAACAAATAAAACCTCTATAATATAAAAAAAACATATAAATACAAAAAAACCTAACAAATTAATTACACTACCCCAAACTCATTACAACAAACACTATATACTCACAATAATAAAAACCATCACTAAATAATTAAAAACCTACCCTATACCCCATACCACTACACATAATACCATCCTAAACCTTAAAACACAAATCCTTTAAAAACACAATACCCCCCAAAAAATTAAATCTAACAACAAAACTAACTTCAAAAACAACCTTATAAACACCTAAACTAAAAAMCATAACATTAAATAAATATACCATATCCCTTACCATACACCTACTACTAACAAAATAAAACAACTCCTAAAAACCACCTTAAAAACACTAAACAAAAAAACTTTCAAAAACTAAAAACAAAATCTAACAAAAACCACCTAATTAATCAATACACAAAATTCCATAAACCAAACAAACCCTACCCAATCTAAACCCCTACATACAATAAATAAAAACAAAATCCCTATAATACACATCAAAAATTATTAAATAAAATAATTTAAATCAATTCTATTTGGTTTCGGTCTTTTCACCATCAGCTGGGGGTACAGAGCAACCTATAACTGGTTATAGGGTTGTTAGGGTTGTTAGGGTGAGCAGGTGATTGTCAGGCTCTCAGATTCCAGCACTCATCGCTGCAGTTCCCAGCCCTTCCCAGCCTTCAGTCTGAGAAGTGGTGGCTTGGGGTTTGGTGGTTTGGGTTTTTTTTTGCAGAGGGGAAGGCTTTTCCCCTCAACACCACACCCTGCTTTTTCATTTAATGTCAGACTTTTGTGCTCTGTTTTTCATTTGGTCACAGCCACTGCATTTTGACTTTTTTTGGGGCCTTCCATAGTTTCTCGCCTCTGCTATATAGTCTGATCCTTTGATTCTTTGTGTGTGCCTCTGGCTTGGCTAAAATCTCATGATAGCAGGCACATCTGCTATGACCTTTCAAGACAGAACTTCTAAACATTTTCCAGGGCACTGGAACTTTCTTAAAACTCTTGTGTTTTCCTGACAGCCCTTGTTTCTTTAATGTACCTCCCTTAAAAACAAAACAAAACAAAACAAAACAAACAAAAAAAAAAAACAAAAAAAAAACCCTAGTGGGCAAAACAAGGTGTTTGTGTTTCTGGAACTGTGGCCATGCTCCCTGCAGCCCAGCAGTTGCCACCATGGTGCTTTTGCTCCTCAGGTAGCCCTTTCCTCACTTGAGCAGGGAGAAGCACCGGCCCCTCTGGCCAGCAGCCTGTCAGGGTCAGGCCTTGACCCCACTATTGGCCCCGCTGCTGGGATGGCTCTGCTCAGCACAGAGGAGCAGCCATGATGTTCCATGGGGACAGCCTGCAGCTGGTCCAGCAGCACGACATGGTCCAACTCACAGCAGCAGCTCTCCCTTGAGGGCCAGAGGGGTCCGAGGTGACCATGGAGGACCTCCAGCTCTTGCACAGCACACTGGAACAGATCATCTACGGGCCAGACACATGCATTCAAGAACTCATACATGTATGCATGCATGGACATACACAGAGACCTGCAGCTTGGATGCTGCCTTTGAGCCAGAATGTTTTTATTGAAAAGACCCTGCCACAGGAGTCGCTTATCTTGTCCCTTCCCCACCTAGTCCTGCAGCAAGAGCTGAGCAGCACCTGTAAGGAAAAATCCTGAAAGTGCTTTTACTGGGAGATTTATTCCTGGAAGACGCTGGATCTTGTGATGCTTGAGTCCAAGGCTGCAGAGCCTGTATGAGGCAGGCTGCAGAGCACAGCATGGAGGGAGAGCAGCAGCCAGGGCAGCAGGGAGCCTCCTTGTTTCACCCTATTCCCTCCAACTGAGACCTTGCAGGTCTCACCACATTATTTCCTACAGGCAGCAGAGGCTCTGTGCTSCTTACAAACTGATTGGCAGCTCCCCTCAAACAGCTGAAATGTGCCAGCACTGAGCCCCACTGGGGACACAGCACAGGCACAGCCCTGCCCTGGCACTGCCCGCTCCCACAGCACTCTCTGCCACAGCTCAGGCTCTGGGGGCTGGCCAGGCATTGTGACAGCACTAGCTCCTCATCGTCCCTTGTGCCTTTGTCCTCTGCAGTAGACAGAGGTTTCAAAGCTCCTGCACGGCCATGACAGGGTGCAGCAGAGCCCTGTTCTCCAGCAGCAATCCACTCTCCCCCTGTGCGGGCTCAGCCCAGCCCCACAGACAAACCTTCCTACCAGCTGGCCACAGCTCTCCTGGCAGCGCTGGGGCAATGCCTGCACTGCCCCGTTCCCTTAGTCCCAGGGCTCTGAGGGGAGCAGCTCCTGCTCTCCACAAACCCACACAGGCACCTGAAAGCAAGATCTGCCCCCTCATGCTGGGCAGGCATCGAGTGCCACAGCTGCACCCGGAGCTTTGGCCAAATTGGTGCACAAGGACATAGCCTCCCCTCAGGCCGGTGCCTCAGCCCCGTGGCTCCCCACAACTGCAGCGGGTGGTGTGGCCCTCCACCCACCCTCAGCTCCGTGCTTTGCACCAGTAGGGGAGGAGGGCCAGGTGTGTGAGATGGGCAGGGCCATGCTCTGCATGCATGGCTTGGGAGCTGGCTCCATGCACATCCCTGGACAGGTACCCTCAGGAAAGCAGGAGTTCTCATACGTGGAACGTCGCATGCTGAGTTCCAGGCTGGGTGCCTGGTGCTGCCTCTTCTTCCAAGTCCTGCTTTGGCTCTGGCAGGACACCCAAGACCCCAGACGGCAGAGCTGGTGCTGCATTTACACCTCGATGATATTGACAGAGGGAGATTTCTTCTATGAGAGAAAAATCTGCTTTAAGACCCTGCTTTGCAGTGCCCCTGGAATCAGACCCCACAGCAGAGCCCCTCAGCCTGCGGCACGCATCAAGACCAGCAGACCTCAGCAGAGCAGGGTCAGTTTGGAGTAAGGATCCAAGAGGTGGGATCTCTTTGACAAGGAGTAATCAGCAAGCTGAAAAATCTGGAGGGGAACTGGGGCCTTGAAGTCCAAACAGGAAGTTTCTCCTCCTGACATCTGCTGGAAACCAAGATGTGGAATCAGTGGGGGCAGTCAGGCAATACAGAGAGGGGAGGTCCCACCCTTGAAAGAGGCAGCAGATGAGATACAAGCAAAAACCTAACACAAGGTCCCGTTAGAGCATCAGGGCTATAAATCACTGTCTTTGGCAGGTAACAAAGGGAGAAATGCCAGGTGCTGAGGGAACAGCCAGATGAAGGTACTGCACCCTCCCCATCCAGAGCCTGGCATAGCACTTCCATCAAGGTGAGGAAGGGGCTTTGGAATGACTTGTGTAGTGATGACCTGGAGCCAGCCGCAGTGAAGGCAGAAAGTGAGCAGTGACAGACCAGTGCAGGAACCATGAGAACAGATGCCTAGCATATCCACTCCTGCCTGAACAGGCAGCAGCAAGACCTGTCCATCGGTGCAGGAGAGGTGCAGCCTTGGAGGGGCATGGTGAAGGGTCTGTTACAGTGAGAGGTCAGGTACCACCCTGCAATGCAAGAGCCATCCCAGCTGTTATGTCCTGTCATCTCTCCCAATGTTTCTCCTGCAATCACCCATGGGGCATGCACACTGCCCCAGAGTGACAAGGGCTCACTGCACCCCAAAAGCTCTTAAGTCTTTGGGGTGAGAGCACAAGCTGGGGTGTTTCCCTTTCTGGAGAGAGCCAGAATCTGTCCAGGCTGCGAGCCCCACAGATACCACATGCCATCCCTCCTGCCAGCCCTTGCCAGCCCTCCCCACTCACCTTGCTCCGCAGCAGCCCTCCACTTGGTCGCTCTGGTGTGCTATGTTCCGAGGACGGCTTTGTCTTCTCCTTGTTGTTGTTGGAGTCATTATCCTTGATTATGTCATATTGTCTGCAGAACAGGGCAATCACCGCTGCCAAAAGACAGACTGGATGAAGGACACCCCCACAGTGGCTTCCTCTGTGTCCCCTCCCCACAGCATCCCAGCTGCAGAGCAGTCGTGCCAGGGCTCCTTGGGGTGCTGCACACCCACACCCCCACCTGCATCAGCCTGCTCCACCCCAGGTAGCTCTGCATGTGTGGCCAGGCCAGTTTCCTTGGGCAGACAGGCATGGATGTGACTGAGGCCATTGGGGGACATACGACGTGCTCAGCACTCACCCAAGGCAGATGCTGAGGCACTCAGAGAGGAACTGTTAGGTCAGTGGGTAGCTGAGTGGGTTTTGGAGTGCCTCCAGCAAAGGGCTGGCTTTTGTGACCCTCACAAAAGCCAGCCCTTGTCTTTGTCTGTGCAAACTGCCGTGGGGTCAGTCACTCATGGTTTCACAGCACGCGTCTCATGCAGCATGTTCCACCCCGGGAACCCTGGGTACAGGAGTGTGGAGCAATGCCCCCAGGTGTGATTGCGCTGGAGTCACTCAAACCCCTGCGTGCATGTGATAACACAAAGGCACTGTCAGGCACAGGCTGGGCTTGACTCCTCTCAGCTGGCATCCTGACACACCAACCCCGTGCCAGGTGTAAACTACCAGCAGTCCTCTTCTATTTTCTTCCAGTGCACTAGAGAAGTGTCAAGGACAGGGCACGGAGAAATTTCTGCAAGATGCCACTACAAAATCCACAATTACTGGGAAGTAGGGGATCACTGACTTCCTATTCACAGTAGCAGCATAAGACCACCAGTCAGGAGCTGACTTAGTTCCTAGGCTCCTGTGCTCCCAGGGCAGCCTGCTGCCTGCTGGAGCACTGGCTTTAATCGTGCAGTATAGGAACAAATCACTTGTTTTACAACTTTAGCAGACTGAGTCACAGCCACTACCAGCTAGTGCAGCAGTATCACCAGTCACAACATCTAAGGCCCAAGCAACACAGTCATTACTATCAGCTAGGATGCTCCCACACTGCAATGCTGTCTCCTGCTCTTCCACATACTCCAGGCCATTGCTGCTGAGCAGTGGCTGTGGTTGCTCCTTTTACCCCACTGGCTCCAGCTCCTACAGTGACTCAAYGGTCTTACTGAAAAGGGTGACAGACCCTCACAAATATGCCTCTGCACTCTCTTGAGCCACATCCTCTGTAACCATGGACTGTACCTTTGCCCCAGCCTGCCAGAACACTGCTTGTGGCACTCACCTGCCCACATGAGCAGCACAGCCACGATTATAATAATCTCACCAGTCTGCAGCTGCCGTTCTTTGTCCAGTCCTTCCATGGTGATGTCACCTGCAGAGAAGAGACCCCAAGCAGGGCTGGCAGCAGATACCCTCCCACTACAGCAGCACTGGAGGATGTGAAAAACTCCCCAAGAAGAGAAATCCACCTCCCCTAAACAAGGATGGGTGTGGGATGATATCCTGTCTGGGGAGAGGACATGCATCCTGCCATTTTCCTGTGCCAGATAAATCATCCCTGCTACTAAGGAAGTTAGGGATTCCAACAGCTTATTTGGGTTCATGCAGGGACTGCACAATGCATGCCAGTGATCACTACTAAGGTCATTCTCTACATAGCGACCAGGGCAGAGCAGGTCAGTTGAACGCAAAAGTTCTGAGGAAAGCCAGACATCTGCTTGCCCTACCATACTTGAGACCCCTCTCATGGTTAGTGCTGGAGACAGACTCCCATGCCCTCTGTGGGCACTGTATCGCCTGGATTCCTGGATTAGCTCTCATGGGCCAGCATGTAGGCGACCCCAAGGCAACAAAGATATGAGTAGTAAAGGAGACATGGGGCTCTGTCATTTGTCCTTCGATAGCCTGCAGACTAGAAGATCTGAGAGTCTGTTCAGTACTAGCCTCCTACAGGCAGCAAGTGGATAGGTCTCAGCAGCTGTCCTGGCCAGTCTGCTTAGATGAAGGTGCCAAGACCTAGGATAGGAAGGCTGCAAACCACAGCTTGGGGACGTTACCGTGGACACACAGTGCATACAACAGCAGTCTGTACAACCCCGTGTGTCCCCAGCAGCCTGCTTCTCAGGGCAGAACCTTCCTCACTGGCTGCTGAATCCCTGCCCATCCGGTGTACAGGCCTCTAGGTGTGGCCCCAGCAGCAGCAGCAGCTGGGAAGAGGTGCCTCACCTTGGTTGGAGCTGTTGGAAGGCAGGCGGTCGGTCTCCTTCAGGGTGCGGAAGTGGACACGCTTGCTAGCCTGGCTCTCCCCGTACAGACCAATGCTCTGCACCTGGATGATGTAGTCAGCATCCTCTGCCAGGTCCCACAGCACACAGGCACGGTTGGTGGTATTCACCTCCCGGATGAAGCGCTGCATCTGCCCATCCTGCCGCTGCCAGAGGGAAGAGCTGTCAGCCCAGGAGGCTGCTTCCAGCTGCACCAGGCTGCAGGGCTCTGCTGGACACATTGCCCTCACTCCTCTCTTCCCAGGGTGGGCCAGACTGCCCAGCACTAGCTATTCAGCATCCCTGCATGGCCTGAGAGCCAGGCACCTCTCTGGAGAAGCCACCCTCACCCAGGGCTGCATTAGGTGGAGCAAGGCAAGCAAAGATGGGTTATGTCGTGGCTGAAGCACCAGCCTTACCCAGAGAAATCCCAGGGAAGCCATAGAAGGTACCACCCCCAATGCAACCCACAGTCTTCTGCCTCCCACCAGGATGGATGGCTCAGATGAGGCACACTGGCAAGGGCTGCTCAGAAGCAGAGATGTTCTCAGGCATGTGCCAGAGGAGTCCCAGACTGTGGCAAAAGGGCTGACACATAGGAGCATGCTAGCAATCAGTGTTCCCAACCCCTGGTGGCAGATCCTGGATACCTGCTGTAGAATGGCATAGCCGATGACCACGTCTCCTTCTGGGACGTCCCAGGAGACTGTGGCAGAGTTTGCCTTCAGCTGCGTCACAGTCACGTTGACAGGGGACGGTGGCCTGTCTGGGGACCAGGCATGGATCGAGGCGAGGCACAGGAAAGAGGCAAAAGAAGATGTCTCAGAACAGGCATTCAGCCCTGCACATCACCACGGGGCGTCTCCAACACCTGCCCATGGCAGCACATTGGCTAGGGTAACAGGCCAGTGCCTTCTTTGGTGAACCCGTCCACAGGAGAGTAGCGGTGCAGCAGATGCACAAGCTGGAGCCCTGCCAGCTGCAACACATGCATAGCACAATGTTTCACGGGCTGGCAGGCAGCTGCCTACTGTGTGCATGAAGAGTGTGGAGGCACAGAGCTCTGGGGTTGTCCCATGGATGGGCACACCACACACACCTGGCACACCACCCAGAACTCTGTAGGACACAGCAATGATATATTGACTGAGACAGAAAAATGGGGCAGCTTGGAATATACATACTCTACCACTCAGTCTGGTCATCTCTTGTGCCTGGTATTACTCCTTGCTCCAGGGTGTGGAGGAAAGGCCAATGTTGAAGGCAGAGCTGGCTGTCCTAGCAATGCAATGCCATCGGCTGCAAAGCAGGCAGCAACACTCGACCACTGCTGTTCTATGGAAAGCTGACCTGACTTGGTCATTTCCTTGGTCTGCACCACAGCCACTTTGAGATTTCACAGCACTAAGAGCACAGCAGGATCCCACACAGTCCTGCACACAAAGCCAAATTTTGTCTGGAAATTAGACACAGGAGCTCATGAAAGACACTGAGGCTGCTGTTTGTGTCTTCTCACTCCCCGCAAATAAGTCAGTGTCCTTCAACAAGATGTCTATGTAGAAYAAGGTCAGTGCTGTGATTTATACAGAAAAAGAGCTCCAGAGGGCACCTGAGAAAAAGAGAAAGGACAACCATGACATCAACAACAACCCCAGTTAGAATGACAAGGAAAGGTGATCTTTGCAGGCCAGCGGTTTCAGTGCATTCATTCACATCTGAATATACCCAGCTCCAGATCAAGTCAGAGGAAGGCTGAGGTTCCTACTGAGAAATTCAGGGTTTTGGTCTGCCAAGGGCAACTAAAACAGAGAGGAAAGCCCAGAAAACATGTTGTAAGAGAGACCCCGGGACATAGCGTGTCCCCAGAAATTTGACGCACCGTTAAAGTCACCAGAGACACGGATACCACAGGGTTTTGGTTTTCTCTTTCAGAAAAGGAGCCTGGAAAACTGGAAAGGATTCAAAGATACACTCAAACATCCTTTATCCCACAAAGAGCGTGTCTCCGCAGAGTTTCGCCAGTGGGGATCTGGTTCATCAGTAACCTATGACAGGGAGAAAGTCTCTAAGCCATATCCTCCCGYACACCCTGCTTGCCTAAAATCCAACAGCAAGACAGGCTGAACAAAGCTGCAGACCCAGCCCTGTCCACTGCCCAGGGTGTATGTACTCTGTGGGCACAGGAGCTGAGCTTCCTGAAGATGAAATAACAGAATCATTGTGGTTGGAAAAGACCTCCCAGACGATGAACTCCAACCTGTGAACGAATAACCCCATGCCCACTAAAACATATTGCAAAATGTCATTTCCAGTCATTTCCTGAACACTTCCAGGGGTGGTGAATCCACCACTGTCCTGGGCAGCCTGTCCAATGCTTAACCACTCTTCCAGTGAATAAATTGTTCCCAATACCCGACCTGCAACTTGAGGCCATTTCCCCTAGTCCTGTCACCTCTTCCCTAGGGGTAGGCAAAGCCTGACCCCCACAATCCTGTCAAGGAGTTGTAGAGAGTGAGAAGGTCCCCCCTGACCCTCCTTTCATCCAGTCTTAAGTTACCCCAGCTCCCTCAGCCACTCATCAGACATGTGCTTCAGTCCCTTCTCCAACTCTGTTCCCTTCACGGGACATGCTCCAGCATCTGAATGTCTTTCTTGTCATGAGGGGCCCAAAACTGACCCCAGGATTCAAGATGCCCCAGCAGTGTCCAGCACGGGGAAAATCACTGCCCTGGTCCTGCTGGCACACTATCGCCAAGACAAGCCAGGATGCTCTTAGCCTTCTTGGCCAGCTCATGTTTAACTGCTGCCAACCAGCACCCACAGGTCCTTTTCTACTGGGCAGTTTTCCAGCCTGGTCTGGTTTTCCACCCCAGTCACAGTTGGTGTCAGGTCATCTGCTCGGCTCACAGCCAAGCTCAGGCAGCATCCTGTCAGTCAGCAAATAACTGTTCCCTTGCATTGTCCCAGACACAGGCATTTCAAAGTGTGGATCTGCACAGTGTGGGGGACTGCATGTTTCTGCTTGCCTTCAAACAGAAGAACAGGTGTCCTGGTTACCACTGTGCTAGCAAACAGTGGGGTCAGAACAGCCCAAGAAGCCAGTGGTGGAGATTGGTCCGAAAATTGATTCGGTCTGCACCAGCCAATATGTGCCCAAATTACTCTTGGGCATAGCTTGGAAGCCAGCACGAGACAGAAACCATTCCTGGCAGTTAGCACTGATGTACCTCCTTCATTGGAACTTGTGAGTTTAATACCATGGATACGACCAGATGCCTACCAGCTGGCCTCAGGACAGGAACAGGGCATGGTACTTCACAGGACACATCCACACCAATGAATTAGGTGGTTTCTTACATCTAACAGAATTAAAAGAGTCCTGTATATGCGCAATGGGGGCAGCTCAACTACCAGTCTTTAAGGGTATGTGAGGAAATTAAAGACAGGGTCTGACATCTCTGTGACACAGACGTTTGTGGCTAGAGCTTGTAGCAGCTGCCCAGTTCTGCACAAGMATTTTCTAAGCTTCTGTGGGGCGTCCGCCTGGCCCAGCTGCGGTTTTCAGGCTGGGGATGCTGAGACACTGCCCTGGGACTGAGTCACTCCATGATTTGAGAAGAAAGGCACTGCACTGATCCACAAGCCATGCTGTTGAATCCACACAGGGCTGACAGAAGTGTTCCAGTTGTACTTGGAGCTTGCACTGGCCCTGTGCAGGGATTGTCACTCACTGGCAGCAGAAGGATGAGAAGACACAGGGGCACAGCGGAGCTACGATGCACATGGTTGTCAATGCACCGGACCACACGCATCGAAAGCACACTTGGTGCAGACACCAGGCCAGAAGCCCTGAACCTGCGTGACAGGAGACCTGGTGTCCAGGCTACGGTTCTGCATTAGAGAAAACAGTGATCCTTTATCAGTTTGACATTGAATGAACTGCAGAAAATACATTTCTGAGCTCTTGGGATTTGCATGCCTGGCAGAAAGAGACAAGAAACCTCAGAAGTCAAAACTTGAGAAGTTCACCCTAGATACACAAAGCAATGTTTAATCCCAATCACCTCTGGTCTGGAGACAGGCTGGGAGAGATGAGGTTATTCAGACTGGAGAGAAGGCTCTGGGAAGACAGGGGCTCCAAGAGAGCTGGTGAGGAACTTTGAACAAAGGCCTGGAGTGACAGGACAAGGAGGGGCTGACTTTACACTGACAGAGTCCAGGGTTAGATGGGATACTGGAAAGAAATTGTTCCCTGTGAGGGTGGGGAAGCCCTGGCACAGGCTGTGCAGAGAAAGTACGGCTGCCCCGTCCCTGGAGGTGTTCAAGGCCAGGCTGGATGGGGCTTGAAGCAGCCTGGTCTAGTGGAAGGTGTCATTGCCCATATGAGGGGGATGGGATGAGATGGACTTTAAGGTCCCTTCCAAACCAAACCATTCCAGGAATCTATGACATTCAAGATGAGACCACGAAGTTGTTACCTCCAAAGGACAAAGCTTTGTGTATAATCCCCACATTGCATCTAATACTGCCCAGCCTGCTCTGCAGCTAAGGTCAGAGCAGCTTCACACCAAAGCTGTTGCCATAAAGGTCTGTGAATGTAAGGGCTCCAAAAAACATGCTCTCTGAAGCCAACACATTCTGGCTATAAAGTCAAGATGCCACTGGACTCTGGGAAAAGTGTGCCACTGTTTAGCTCAATGCATTAACTGCTAATGATTATACATCACTTATAAATTATCCAGCTTCACTTTTTATTAAAGCCATATTACTAAAAGGGCACCCCCACAAAAAGCACAGTCACTTACTTAAGGCCTGGCACAAGTTTTCTCCTATCTGTATAGTAGTGTGCTCTTTTTGGGCCTGATTAGGGGTGGGAAGAGCTGGGCTGCATCTAGGAGCTGGCAGCACTTCAGCAGGTAGCTGGACACTGGGAAGGATGGCAGGTGGGCAGTTGAAGGGATGGCCAGAGGGCAGTGGGAGGGGTAGTGAGTAAGCAGGAGGAGGGATAGCTGGTGGGCAGTGGGAGGGATGGCCAGTGGGTAGCTGGACACAGGACCAGATCTGCCACGCATCCCAGCTCCATGGGTCAGCAAAGGCACTGGACAGATACCCTTTATGAGGAATGCTGGCAGATGTGGTGCTGCAGAGGGATGGAGCATAGCTCCACCAGTGCCCTCCCCATCCTCTTGTGATCCGGAGAGCGGACGACCCCTGCTCCCCCTTGCCCGTGCCCTTGGGGCTGCTGCTCAAGGGCACCCAGATGTTCCCCCTCACTTACTGCTGCAGCAGGGAATAAGCACAGACTGCACATCTAAAAATAAGTGTCCCCTTTTTAACACCCCTGACTGCATCTCTTCCCGAATCCGTCAGTACGTGTTTTGCAACACAGCCGCATGTAGCAGAACGTGTCTGGTACTCGCAATTCGATTTAGTATTTTAGTAACCTGTCGAGGGGCAGACAGCAAGAGGCGGCTGCTGACATCGGGTCACCCCGGCGAGTCAAAGGACACAAGGACAGCGGTGCCTCGGGTGCATAGAGCTCGATGCCCCCGCGAACACAAGCAGGAAGGGACAGGATCCCCGTCACCCGAGCAGCCCCAGCCCGCCGCCCCCTAAGCGTCCCTGCCCGGGGCAGGAGCTCCCTCGGGCCGCACTCCGCCCGCGGCGGGAGCCCTTGGGAGCCCTCGGGAAGGGCAGGGCGGTAGACGCCGTCCCGCGGGAAGGGAATGCGACACGGTCGAAGGCACGGGGTTCAGAAGCCGCGACGTCCCGGGGGTGCCCGAGGAGTGCTCGGGGGTCGCGGCAAAGGCCACGTCGGGGATGCGGTGCGGCCAGCGCGGGCTCTGGCGAGGACCGCAGCCGACAGCAGGAGCGGCCGCCCAGGAGCGTCTCCCCTGTCGGGGGGCGCCAGCCCCGGAGCCCTCCTGGCCCGGTCGTACTTACTGGCTCGTACGAGACACAGGTCGCAGCCGAAGAGTACCAGGACCGGGCTGATCATCGCCGAGACGCGGGCCATGGCGGCGGGGGCTGCGGCCCGGCCGGGCKGCGGCCCTGGCACCGGCCCGGCTCCCTACGCCGCGGGAGGGAGCGGGGCCGAGCCCCGGCCGCAGCGCGGGGGGGCGGAACGGCCGCCGGGCCCGGCCCGCCCCCGAGCGGCACTGCAGCAGCTCCGGTACCGCGGCGGCTCCGGCGCCGCCTCTCAGCCGCGCGAAGGGGCCGGCACCGCCTCCAGCCCCCCGAGCAGGAGATCCAAACCACCGGTACCGCCCCCGCCCTGTTACCAGAGCCCCGGAACCACCAACGCGGCTCTCGATATCGTTCTCCAGTAACCCCCAGTGCCCCGCCGCAGGCTGCATCCCCGGTAACCCCGAGCGCCGACCGTCCCCGTGCTGGCTCCCAGTGACCCCCACGCCCTCTCTCCCCAGCGCAGGAATCTCCGCATGCAGAGCCGTGTCCTGCCCACGGTCACGCGTGTGGCAGCGAGCAGCGCTGATGGCACGACTGTWGGGCGCTGATAGATGCCGACATTCGGCCTGGTGCCCCCAGCACAGTCCCACAGCTACTCTGCAGCTGGGGCTGCTCTGGCCCTCCAGGGTACTGCTCCAGGTGCATATGAAGACACAGACTGTGCCCCATACCGAGGAAAGGCAATACTGGGTCAGTGAAGTGTAGAGAAATAACAAAATGAACCAAAATCATCCTCTATTACCTTACAACAGTAACCTACTACTTTCTGTGAGCAATGCAGACCGGAAAGAGGAGTCAAGCCAAGACAGAATCTATGGTTTCAAGGGGCTGCTAAGGTAGCTCAGCCTAGCTGTTGTTTTGGGCAGACTTGGAGACTCCTGAGGCTCCTCTCTGTCCAGCTGATGTCCTTGGCTGCAGCCTATATTGTCCCTGGCTGTGTAGCATAGCTGGAGCTGAATGGCAACTTAGACTGTACCCGGGCTGAGATCAGCCCACAGCAAAAGCACGTTGGTGTGTGCATATGAGAGAGACTTGTGGGCACATACATCCCTAGTTCACTACCCTAGGACTGGGAAGTCTTCACTTGGTGTCTTTCCTAGTTCTAGAAGAATTGTTCTGTGCTTTAGGGAGAGCTTTGGAAGACCAGGGTGGTCACTTAGCCATGGGAAGAGTTTAATTTGCAGTGCCTGTGCACAAGGGACAAGTTCCAGCTAAGTGGAAATTGAAGCCTGTCAGAGTTTACATTAAGTCTGCAGCTGCATGGCAGGTTAGGTGATCAGAATGGTCCCATCTAGGTTGTTCAGTTCTGCTTTTCAGATGTTTTTGACATATCAGGAGACCATCTCTTTCCCGAGCTGAGCTTCATTGCTGCTGCAGTCCACAGCGTTGAGGACGAGGTGAGCCTGATACTGCTTTCCCAGCAGAGTCCTGTTTCAAAGCTCCTTCTCCCTCTTATCTGCATTATGGGGAGGAAAGCCAAGGGTAGAGTTGGCAACTGTAAAACTGTGACTGCAAGAGGTTTACAGGAACAGTTTGCCAGTTATGTCTTCTTTGCAAGATCCATTCTCACTTGGTCACTGTGAAAACTACTCAGTTATTGCAGAGCTAGCTGTTGGTGTTAATGTTGACTGTTCAATAGCCAGTCTGCCACCAGCCAAGGATTCCTGGCTTGCCCAGCACTGCTCTGGCCTGCACAGGAGTGCTCAGAGAGCAGACATTATTTGAAAAGGTCAGCACTGTCAGTGTTAGATATTTTTGACAGCAGAAAGAAGTGTCCATCAGCACTGTGGGACAGTGCTGATAAACTGCATCCCTCCCCCAAGCTACTTAAAAGTGGTTCAGTTTCTGTGTCCTTTCCCTATGCTCCAGGCTGCAGCCCCATTGCTTGTGCAGGAGGAGAATTAAGCTGTGATTGGGGAATTTTGTTTCTGATCGCCCTAGACATCACTGCTGGCTGGCTGGCATTCCCAGGCTTCACAGATCTTCCAGATCAGTGCTGGACATGGGAAAGGACATGCTGTGCCACTTATGGCAATCCTGGGAACTCAGTGACTGTGCACAGGGAGCATGGCATTCCTTGGGAGCAGGCAATGGCATTTGTATTTGTGGGTTCAGTCTATAAATAATAAATACTGAGAGTGCAAACTTTCCACACACATTTAATTATCAATTGAGTATTTGGGATTTTAGCCAAGCAAAATTCGATTTGCAATTGCAGATCAGGAACTAATGCATCTAAATTGTATTATATGCCTTGCAGTGCCTTGTACTTGGAATTCAGTGGGGAAATCCAGCAGTAGCCTCGAGATCCCATCCTCACCTCTGCAGCTTGGCCTGTRGGCACCAGTCACAGCCTGTCCCTAGCAAATGTGAGATTCTGGTAGAGGCGCTGGCAGCAAGAGAATGCCCTGCCCACGATGCAAGAGTCTCCTGTACCTGCATCATACCGCCATGCTATCATCTTCCTCTGAATACACACAGCACATCAGGAATTGACCTCTGGAGCTGGGAAAGGTTTGGATCAATGTTATGCCTGTGCAGAATCTGCCCCACACTTTGTAGTGTATAAATGTCATTGACTAAATGAAACCTACCAAAGATGCATGGATTTTGAGTCCCTAACCTAAGCCTTAGCTTCTAATTAGTGTGAGGTGAGCATTCACAGATTTATGAAAGCATGACCTGACCTGCAATGGCTGGGTCCTGATCTGGGCATCCTGGACCTCTGTGACTGTTCCTCTCATGCAATTATTTTCCCGATACTCTGGCTGCTCCCTTTTCCCACTGCAGGGCCTCCTGTGGTCAGCTGTGACCTGTGCCTATGGAAGCAGCCAGCAACTGCAGCTGTGACTCAGATGGCCTTTTCCAGATGAGCATTGTCCTTCAATCAGCTGCTGGCTAGCCTAGAGGAGGGCTGGGGAGGGAGTGAATGCCAGAGCTGCCCCTGCACCCCTAGACTGTGTCAGCCCCATGCTGGCTCAGCACGATGTCCTCACACCAGGGCTGCCATAGCTGCTGCTTGGCATCATCTGTCTCCATGTTCATTGGAAGGAGACGTCCAAGGTTGTTGTGAAGGTTCATTCCCATCCACTCAGTCATGTCTGTGTGCTGGCTGCTGTATTCTATTTCTCTCCCACAGAAGTGGAATTAATTAACTGATGCCCTGTGATAATAATAATGGAGGGCAAAGGTACAGCAAACCATAGACATTTTCTATAAAGCTGCTAAGGAAAGYCCCCTATTGTCTTCAGCCAAAGAACAAGCTCAGACCCATCACCAGGCTATGGATATCGGCACTTTATCAACACTTCATGAAACTTATGAAATGTGGAAAGTCACTCTGCTRATCATTAATACCCACTAATCATTAATGATTCCTGATCCTACTTTTTGTGTTTATTTCATGATGGCATCTTTTTGCCATCTGACACATAATTGGATTTGGGGAATTCAGTGCTGCCCAAGAACAAATATTTATACTTTTTATTATCACAGGGTATTTTGAAGTCAAAAGTTTTGCTGTGTAATTATGTGCAATGGGGAAAGCAATTTATTATGGTGCATTTAGACCAGATGCCCAAGTAGTTCTGGCCCTTCCTAGCTTCTATTGTAACAAAAAATTAATAACAGTTATAATCTGCACTGCACCATCTGCAACACAGCAGACACGGGTCATCTTTCACAGCTGGTAAGTGATGAAAAAAGATAATTTATTTTTTACCCTTTTTATATGGGACAACTAGGCAGCATATGGGGTTTGAGATGTGGGTTTCTTCTATGTCGGTGTATTCACAATAGTGTTACCACTCGGCCCTTTCCCAGATCATTTACACCACATGAAGTCACCAAAGCCAAGAGCCTGGTGAAGCTGAAAAGTGATCTTACAGGTCTATCAATAGCAAAAGCATTCAGCACTGTCATGATCAGTGAACACGCAACTGATGGAAGTTCATGAGCAGCTCTGTCAAAGCCCACCCTTGGGGAAGAAGTGGATTTGTTATTGCTCAGATAAATGCACACAGCACTGAACGTGAGGCAGGAAAGCTAACCCTCTTCAGCAAGAGAATGGGAGCATTGGGCAAATGCTGCACCCCAAGGCAGACACTGCTCTGCAGTGACCAGCTGCCATGCGAAAGGTGCATCATGCACCTCTGTAACGGGCATACAGTCTGCCAGAGACATGTTCTGGCTCTGATGCCTCATCTTCTGCTTGGTAGTGCTGATATCTCTTCTGCTTTGGTGTCCAGCCAGCGGCTTGGGCTTCAGGGAGGGAGAAAATTCACCTGTGACTGGCTGGAAAACTCACTGGAATGACCCTGGCTGGATACCAGGTGCCCATCAAAGCTACCCGATTGCTCTCCCCTCAACTGTTCAGGGAAAACACAGTGAAACACTCATGGATCGGCATAACAACAGGGAGAGCTCACTCAGCAACTACTGTCATGGGCAAAACAGACTCAAGTTTGCGAAATCAGTTTAATTTATTATCAATCAAATCAAATTAGGGTAATGAGAAATAAAACCGAATCGTAAAACCATCTTCTCACCACCCCTCCTTTCTTCCCCATCTTAGCTTCACTCCCCAGTTCTCCCCCTCCTCCCCTTCAGCAGGGCAGTAGGACAGGGAATAGGATGAATTCATCACACCATGTCCCTGCCACTACCTCCTCCTCAGGGGAAGGGTCCTCACACTCTTGCCCTGCTCTTGCGTGGGCTCCTCCATAGGCTGCAGGTGGGTCTCTGCTCCCCAGTGGACCTCCAGGGGCTGCGGGTGGGTCTCTGCTCCCCAATGGACCTCCAGGGGCTGCGGGTGGGTCTCTGCTCCCCAATGGACCTCCAGGGGCTGCGGGTGGGTCTCTGCTCTCCAGTGGACCTCCAGGGGCTGCAGATGGGTCTCTGCTCCCCAATGGACCTCCAGGGGCTGCAGATGGGTCTCTGCTCCCCAATGGACCTCCAGGGGCTGCAGATGGGTCTCTAATTCCGTGTAGATCTCCATAGGCTGCAGGTGGGTCCCTGCTACCCCTGGACCCCACAGGCTGCAAGAGAATCCCTGCTCCAGCACTTGGAGCAACTCCTCTCATTCCTTCTGCACTGGTCTGCAGGGCTGCAGGGCTATTGCTCTCACATACCCTCACTCCTATCTCTGGCTGCTGCTGTGCACGGTTCTTTCCTTTCTTAAATCCCAGAGGCACTGCCACCATTGCTGATGGGCTCTGCTTTGGCCAGTGGCAGGTCTGTCTCGGGGTCAGCTGGCTTTGGGTCTGCTGGACACGGGGGAAGCTTCTAGAAGCTTCTCACAGAAGCCATCCTTGTAGCCCCCCATTACCAAAACCTTGCCATGCAAACCCAATATAACTCCCTTAAGACGGAGTTTTGGGCAAAGCAGCTTATGGTGAAAGCTGCTAAATTAGCCTGGGTTGTTTAGCCTAGAAACTATGAAACTGAGGGGGATGTGCTGACAGCTTCTCTTTTGATGCCTGACAGCTGCCAAGCATATACATAGCTGCTGCAGAGACCAGAGTGGCCTGTTCCTTGTCTGGGGTAGAACATGGAGGCCAGGGCTGATCGTCCTCTCATTGTCAGACTGGTGGATATTGATTTAGTTTCCAGCCACTCCTCCACCTCAAGGGCTGTCTTGCTGTCAGTCTCCTGACACCCTCTCCCTGGCATTGCTTCTGACAGGGCCAAAGTAATTTGCCATCTGCACTGCTGGCAGTGGGATCTGCTCTCTGTGTTTTCTTGTGCTGACTGTGCGACTGTTCCCATAATCTGGGAGCAGAGATGAAGTTCCCGGAGACAGGCGAGAGAGTAGGTGCCTTGGCAGCCAGCCTGGCTCCGCTCGTTGCAGTGCTGAGCCCACCTGCACAACTGTACAGTGCTCCACAAGGTCAGGTACAGAGCCAAGGTGGAGTGAAAAGGAGGGGAAACCTTTGTGAAGCCTGTATCTCCATGGGAAAAGCAGGGACATGGGACAGGGAGACAAAGCCCTGACCGGGCAGCCCGTGTGATGGAGAGCCACATGTGTGCACCAGGCCTGGCCATTCTGTGGTGCCAGGGAACCTCCCTCTCCTGCTCAGAACTGCTCTACGGCAGCCCTAACATCAGAGTGCCTGGTGATGGGAGGTGGCCAGGGACACCAGAGACCAGACCTTTTGTGGGTTGCAGGGACCCAGCCACTCCATCTGGAGGGAGTGCAGAAGAGCCTCAGACCTTTGAGCCAGCTACTTGTGTCAGGGATGTGACCAGTGCCTATTGCAGGGAGGTGGGCTCTGATGCAGCACCCAGAGACAGTGCTGATAGACTGGAAGTGTCCTCCCTGCTTTGACTGTACTCTGCACAACTGCAGTTCTGAGGCACAGGCCAAGGGCCAGGATGGTTGGAGTCTATCCTGGAAGATGATTTTGATGTAGCATGGCATGTAGCATGGCAAGATGTTTCGAAGAGCCAAGTGTTCAGCAGTAAGAAGTCATGAAGTAATCTTGTAGGCTTTCAGGATATCCCCATTTTAAACACCAATTCAAACCATAGTTGAAGGGATGGAAGGGCAATATATAGATGTTATTGGGACCTTTAAATTTAATAATACTGAATTTCATCTGCCATTTCATCTCCCAATCCCTCAGCATTTGAAGATATTTAGAACCCCTTCTGTGTGATTACCTTTTAATTTTTACTGCTCTGTGTAATCCTCAAGCCCTACCTTCATCCCTGGCCATTTACTCCCATGAGGAACAGCTGGAAAAAAAGCTGACAGCACTGGCTGTGATTTTCCTAACCTTTAATTTGGCTCGTCTCCGCAAGCAGTCACTGAGACTATGTCTTTGGTTACTGTCATTCTGCGGTTCAATGTAGACTACGTTTGAATAACTACCTGGCTTGTTACCTGCTTCTCAAGAAAGGCACAGGCTTGATTCTGGAATGCATCTGCACTTTTTGAAAACAAATGCCTCTGATTTAGAAGACCTTTGAGTATAGTTCCGATGGGGTTTTGGACCTGATACAGCATGCATAAAAGAGGACACTGCACTAATTAATGTCAGCAAAGCTGTCCAATATAACCATCACACCCTCCAATCTCACTCTCATTCTACTGTATTTTAATGATGAGATTGTCCTACTTAATTTTGAAGGCAGCTGGCTTTCAGAGTCAAGCAACACTTCAAGAAATAATGTCATACTTAGTGCTGGTTTCATTACCAGCATCGGAGCCACACAGTATCCCAAAATTACATTAACCCTCCACTTGCCATGAACGTCACCAAGGACCAGACCACTGCAGGAGGTGGTTGTAGGCCATTGTTCTGCTCCCAAACACCGGCAGCTGCACAGGGAAACATCTGAGTTATAGATAATGTCACTCCAAGGAAAGCAAAGCAGTGGAAGAGCTTGCCTGGCACAGGTGTGGTGTCCTTACCAACAGAAAGATGACAAACCAATGGTATGTACTGCACCCTGATACAGTGATAGAGCTAAGTGTACAACTGCAATTATTTCATTCTCACATGCCACACTCAGCATCATACTGTTCCACACAGGCAGGAATGACAAACTGCAGTGGATGTCTCTGCGTAAAGCACATCGCAAGTCAAGGTTTCACTCAACAGAAAGCTCCATTTTTTTGACATTTTGGCATTGTAAAAGAGCTTGAACCTCTCTAAAGCTACAACATGTCACAACTTGCAGGGAAGAATGGTGATTCCTGAAAATTATTGAATTATTAATGACTTTGAACAAATCTTGGAACAATGGGGAAATCCTTGAGGATTAAGAAAAAACAAAACAACTGAACAACTCACAAACCAAAATATATTCTCACTCCTCCTCCAGAAAAAACCCTCTACGCCCCCAAAGCAAAACTTAAGTATGCCAGTACTTTTAAAATGACAAGCTGTGTGATGACTCTAAGTACAGCTTAGTCTGAAATCTCCCATACACACTAAAAATTGTTCTTTAATGTCATCATAAGAACCAACTAATGTGGTTTCAGAGGCCAGTTTTCTGTAAACATTATTCTTTAATTAGTTAGAAGTCCATGTTGGTAAAATTAGCCATTGACATAATGAATTTCTCTAAGGATTTGTTCCTGGCCCCACATGTTATACAAGCATCGGTGGAATGCATTAAATGCTTGTTATTACATAATTGTAAATAAGGATTTGTCCTAGAGAATCTCAGAGTCTGCAGCTATTTGACTTTTTTATCAAGAATGTTAATGAAATTATGTAACAATTGCAAAGCAAATCAGCAGATTTAAAAAGCTGATGACAAATTAAAGCAAGGAAAAATTGATTATATAACCAAGCTTTCTGGAAAAGTTACTGTACAAAGTAGTTAAGGTCTCTGCTGGAATAGTTCCATGAAATACATCACAATGTTTCTGAATGAGTTAATCAAGTGCCGTCTGGCATTAAGCCCTGGTAACTTGAGTTTCTAGAAACAAAAGAAATGGCTCCTCAGAGGCATTTTCAGAACAACTCAAAAATGTGCTTAAAAGGATAAAATTGAATATAATTAGTGTAGTGAGGGAGTTGAGGACAAAAACAGGTAGCTGAGAGCAAAGCAAGATTATCATGGTATCCTACATAAACCAGACTGTTACAGAATACTGCAGCTGGTTCATGGTTCATGTCTCTGGACTTAAAAAGTGAAAAATGCACCAATCAATATATAACATGTCAGCAAAGCACAATGCACAGCAGAAAAAAAAAAAAGAAGAAAAAGAAAAACCTGCTCTGAGACTAGGCAAGCCTCTTTAGCTCACACAGCAAATTATGTATGGAGTTAATTATGACTACAAATATGCAGGAAGACATTTCTGATACCATAGAGCTATTTCAGTTACCAGGACTGAGTAGTATAGGATACAGAGGCTGAAATGAAAACAAGTTCCAATGAGAAGACACAGCATTTTTAGTACAATTAGTCACTGCAACAAGTAGTGAGTGACTAGCTGGTCTCTCATCACTTCTGATTCCTTCTAAACTGGATCTCTTTCTAAATATGTACTTGCTCAAGTACAACTGGTAACAGCAAGGCCCAGTTTGCTGGGGCAGTGGACACCATTCCTCCAGGGTCTGTTGCCCACATGATGTAATGTCTTCATCCAAGCCGCTTGGTGCAATTGATTTGCTAAAGGGGAGGGATGTCATCCAGAAGAACCTGGGGAATCCATGAACAGAGAGCAGTCTGGTGGACAAGGACTTAGGGATAACAACATTTGACACAACATGGCCATGTGCACTGGTGGCCCAGAAACCACTAGTGCATCTCTAGTAGTGCGGGCAACAGGTGAGGGAGGAGATTGTGCCCCTCAGTTAAATTCCTTGCCCTCAGAGCAGCGGAGCATGGCTGAGCCTTAGCCCCGCTACAGCAGGATGCGAGTGCTCCAGGACAGATCTCTCTCCTCACAAGCAGCTGACTGTCAGCAACGCACCTTCTCATACCAGCTTAAGCCAATCCAGCAATCTGCTACGATGCTGATGGACAGGGAAAGATCATTAGAGAATGCTTTTTTCCCAGATGCCATGTTACGTGGGGGAGTAAGTCACTGGTGTAACAACAAAACCCAGGTGGTCATGAAGTATCCATGTCTAGGGAGCAGGTCTAGTTAGTAACTCACAAATGACAGCTTGGACTCTAAACTGAAAACCACTATGAAAAACCTTTAATTCCTGGGTTTATTGGACTGAGTGCAAAGGTAGTGAATGTTTGCTCAAAGTACAGCTGTGTGGAGTTCTGAGAAGAACCGCGAAGACAACTGAACAGCACCACAGCATGCAGGACGACCCCATGGGCAGGCTCGCTGATAACAGACAGGAGAGTGACAGGGCAAGCCAGAGTTTTTGCATTCTGCACAGCATCGTTTTCACGTTTAGTTTCTGTGCATTCTGTGCAACAAAGGATGTCCCCCTTGAAGAGACCTTAACATTGTGCTAGTCAGTCCCTTATGGGAAGAACTTTAAAAAAAAATCCTGATCTCGCCCATTAAAGGAAATGACAAAACAGACACTTGCTGTACTGGAAACCACTAAACAAGCAACCAGTATGACCAAACGGAGACCGCAACCAGAGCAGGAATCACACTGGATCCACTGGTAGTGCCACTGTCCAAAGGAACTACACCGGGAGAAGCAGCCTTTGTACTACAGCTTTGGTTTGTATCCCTCACAACTGAACAGAGGCAAAAGTTTCAATATCGAAGTCACCAGCAGAATTGAGTCACAGTCCCAAAGATATTCAGTTGCTTGTATTAGTGCTGTGGGTTATGAGGCTGACAGAAGTGGGGCCTGTAACTGAAAAGCTTTAGAATTACTCCTTCTCATTTTCTAGGGATTTACTTCGGCCTCTCTTGCTGCTGGTTTTTGGAAATTCAGCTCTCTGTGCAACCTGAGGTGCCCCTTCTTCACTGCTCACACTCTCGTCTACTCGCTGTGGACAGCCTCTCTTACTTCTCCTCATTTTTTCAACTCCAGCAGCAGGGAGCTTCTTGGCAGCCAGGGTGCCAGTTCTCTTCTTTTTGCCCCTGGTCAAAGGACGTTTCTTCCGTTGCTTCCTCTGTTCTTCCCTTTGGCGAATTTTCATTAGTTTCTCAAAGCTTTTGGTGGTTGTTGTATTCACATCAAACCAGTCCTGCAGGTGTAGAAGGCAACAGGTTGGTACTGATGGTGGTGAACATACAAAATAAAGGCTATCAGGGCTTTCAAGAGAGCTGCTTTGTGGGACAAGGTTTCCCTGAAGCGTGAGATCTGGAAAGGCAACTGCCTAACAAAGCTCTATTCTTTGATGTGTCTCCTCAGGTGTCATTCTGTCTCAGAGAATTCAGATTTGATTTGACAATTGCTTAGTAAAAGGCATGGGAAATGCTGCAGAGCTGAACAAAGCAGTAGCAGCTTGGGACATGGCAAGTGACATGACAAAACAATTGCTCCCCCGACCAATGCATTAAGACCAGCTAAGGTTTAAGGACCCCGTTTCCAACAGCGAGCAAGGAAAAAGTAAAACAGGGCACACAACCAGGATTTTCTTCTCAGGACACTCTCCCCATCTCCAACAGCCTGGGATTTGAGGTTGCACTCTGCCTGTCTTACCTCAGCATGCACAGAGTTGATGTGATACTTGACCCCACTTTCTGAAATGAACTCCTTCTCACACAGGAGACATCTGTATTTACCAGCCACAAAGTCTCCCTGGCATCAAAACAAACAAACAAAAAAACCCCATCAAGAGTTGCCGGACCAGGAGGCTGATCCACCTATATATTTCATTTGAATCTTGCTCAGATAGAATGCAGCAGTAAAAACTAGAAACTCTCATCCATTTCAGATAAAGCTTTAGCTACAGGAGCACTGACAAGAGCGAGCAGTTGTGCCCACAAAGTGTAGGACTGCTCTCTGAGATGCCATAAGGTCTCCAGCACTGCACCTGGAAAAACTTCTCTTGTAGCTGTGAATCTACAGGTAGGATTGGCACGTCATTAAAAGGAATGCCATTAAGGTGCTTTCTCCTGGTCTGAAGTATTGTTTGCAACAGCAACCTCATTAGCACATAGGGGAGCACCTCAATTGGGGGCTGGAATGAGATATCTTTAAGGTTCCCTCCAACCCGAACCATTCTATGAATCCATGAACTTGTGAGGATCTCGGATTAGTGGATGGCAGGACAAGAGCTTGAACAAAGTAGTATCAGAGGGACTGGGACAGTGGGGATTTCAGAGGAAGGCTACCAACCAAGGTGCATGTGCCAAGGTGAGATTTGAGTCCTGAGACACTGCCGTACACAGATTCGCAACCCTGAAACGATAAAAAGAAAGCATGTCAACAACATGCTAGCAAGAAATCACTTCTTCCTGGACAACAGTCTTATCATGTGCGGAGGACAATTACAAAAGCGCAAAAGAGAGGCAGGTACCAATCCTACAAAGGTGGAAAGCTTCTAGTAAAAAGACCATTGGAGGAGTTAAGCTTTCATTAAGCATAGTATTTATATTTCCAGTTTCTGACCACATTCGGACATAATAAAGAGACTGCTGCGACAGTTACCCTCATGCTACATCAACAGCCTGACTGAAATGATAGTTTGCTTTTTGCCTGAAGTGCAACAGAGACAAATTTTAAACAGAGCACAGGGGCAGGTACCAGACACTTCTCCCTCCTGCACTGCTCATGTTTCCAGCAGCTTTCCACAGAGCAAGAGTACAGCATCCAACATGCCTGCCTGGTCTCAGTTAAAGGGCAACTTTGCGGGCCTGTCCCATGGGGAGCTTCAGGCATCGGTCTCAGGGTACCACACTGTGCTCAGCTCTCAGCCTGGGCCCCAAAACAGGAGGCAGAAGCAAGACACGCTGCTGGGTTACGGGCKGGTGACACAGGACATCTGCTCTCTGGAGGCAGCTCCATATACAACATGGTGCTGCAATTTTGATACTTGAAAACAATGCTAGCATGAATACTGGGATGAGAGTGCTGGTGGTGGGGTAGGGTAGGGCAGGGGGAAAGCTTAGTCTTTACACCAAACCCAGCTGGCAGCTGCCACTGACCTTCGGCTCCCTGACAGCATCCATCACACGGAGACATTCACCATCACCTTCACCAGTGGGGCCATTTGTTCTCACTGGATCTGACTTGCTGTATGGTACTGTAAGAAACTAAGCCTTCCAATGCCTAACAAGGTCCAAGAGAGCTAGAGAGGGACTTTGGACAAGGGGGAAYGGCTTCCCACTGCTGGAGGACAGGGTTAGCTAGGAAACCAGGAAGGAATTCTTTCAGCGGTGAGCCCTGGCACGGAAGAGTTGTAGCTGCCCCATCTCTGGAAATGTTCAAGGCAGGGCTGAATAGGGCTTAGATCTGGTGTAGTGGAATGAAGAAAACTTAAGTGCTGTGCCAGACAAAGTCTCTCTGCTCTTGTATTTCCACCTCTACTCCTCCCTTCCATGATTAGATTCAGCTAGAAAGTCACGGTGCTGTCATTTTTCCACTGCTCAAACTTAGAAATGGACCAACTCCCACCTGGATGAGAAAACTGTACCAGCCCGACACCAAGTTACTGGCTCTGAAGTGTTCAAACACATTCCCAAAAGGATCATCCCCTGGGCATTTTGATGCAAAGGACAAAAGGAGCATCCCCAGACATCCCCAAGACTAAACACGGTCTTGATGACACTAAACAACCATACTGTTATGGAGCAGGATTTATCTCCCAGAGAGAGACAAACTGCCTTTTCGAGGTTGTGGGAAGCTGTTGGCTCATATAGGCCTGAAATCTGTCCCCTTCGAGGCTTCAGAAACACTTAAGGATTACCTGATTTGGGCAGTGGACTCTTCGGTACATCTTTATCTCTGTCTTCCATTTGCACAGCACATCTTGACTAAATGTGGGCAGTCCAGGACGAGTGTATTTCAGCTGAGACAAAGATGGAATTGAGAGCTGGAAGTAATGCTGGCTACGCAGAATGCCAAGTAGGTCTCTTCCTCTCTCAGGCTGAGACAGAAGTGCTATCTCTTCTCCTACTCTAACAGGTAAATAATCAATGTTTTCCTGTCTCACGACTCTGTAGAAACATAACTGAATCTGGCAAACCCCCAAAATACCAGAATCTGAAACTTCCCATGGCCTTGACTACAATGATTCCTCTAAATGTACTTATCCTGCTGAAATCATAAAGTATCATTTTCCCTTGGGTTTCATTCACAGCCTCAAAGATGCTCCTGGAAATCTAAACCACTGCGAAATACCACAGCACATATGAGAGACTGGAAGGATTGCGTGGCAGGAGTGATCTTGAGCCTATCACTTGTGAGCAACATCATACCCAAAACTACCCGTGTTCCTTGTGCCCACTGAGAATTCCAGCAATAGGACTTTATAGTCATTACATTCCTGAACAAAACACTTATACCACAGCAATTGCTGCTGCAGAAATAATGTAATCTAAGACAGCAGAGAGCAGAACCCCAATCCCACACATAACGTATTACTTTCCATGTGCCATAAACATGGGGTAGGAGCCAGTACAAGACTCACCAGAAGAGGAAGTAAAAACATAAACCCTATGAAGTATTTTTAAAGCCCTGTACCTTCCGATCATCTGGAATCAAGTCTTGCAGAACTTTTCTTTTGGGCCACTCTTTGGCCAGCTCTTCTCCAGCCAGCTCATGGAGATAGTAGATCGCCACCTTCGCAGATCTCCTTTGAATTCTGCCTGTGTTGTTTTGCTCCCGTTTCATTTCCTCCAGGTTCTCTGTTCTTCTCTCCTCATGGAGGAAAGTGACCTGCAATGAAGGCCCAAAAAGGTGAGCCTTTTTCACTRGTTCGTATTTCAGCTACACTAAATACTGGGAATAAGTATTTTCCCAAAACCTTCATAAAAATGCTACAGCAGCTATGATTCACTGTCACAGACATAGGACAGAAGTGCATCCCACTAGTCAGACAGACCCCAAGACTGCTCACAGGAGTCACAGCAGTGAGGCTCAAGCAGAGAGCTTCATGCAGTCGCTGGTCTTGAAAAGTATTCCAGTATTTGCTGTAATGCCCTCACAGACAACAAGCACAGCACTGCCTGCTCTGCTCCAACAGTGAGCCTTTCAAGAGCAAAGCAAAGCATCTCACCAGTCGCTCTTCCATACTAACTGACAAAGCACGCTAGCACCACTCTTCCATGGACCAAAAGTCAGGTCATTTACTGCTGCTATGCTCATTTATTATTAAAAACAGACAAGCAACAGCTGCTGCTAGAAGCAAACTACCAGGGACAAAACCATCCACAGACAGGAAAATGCAAAGATCTGCGGTCCATAATTACGCACCAAAGTAGCAGACAAAAGCCTACATGTGTCCCAAGCCTCAGTGGCCGAAGTCCCACCACAGTCCCCTGATAATCACTCCAGGGTGCACCCACCGGGCCATGCTTAGATCGGAGGTGATAGACAAGTCCTGCCTTTGATCTGTATGCTTTTCCACAGTGATGGCACTTCATAGCCATTTTCTCCAGCTCGGAAGCAGCCTTCCCACATTTTTTAACATGATACAGGTATCCCATTATGCTGGTGAAGCTGCCTGTGCAGCCCTGTCAACGCAGAAGAAAAATACACGGAAGAAAACTATTCTTCAAGTAATCACACAACCAGTGTGTACAGGATCCACAGTTTTCTGACCAAAGTATCCCTTTTCTTGCCAGTGCAGAGACAAGCAGGTAGAAAACTTACACGTTAGTCTATTCAGACAAAATCTGCAACAAAGAAGTGGCATTGAAATGACCATTAAATATCTCTTTTAACCCAAACTATTTTATGATTCTATACTACTCTGTCTTAAAAGCATAGCTGGAATATTGAAACAAATATTAGGTTTCTCAATACTCAATGGCACACTCATGTTTTATGTTATGCATCCACTGCTTTTTAATTCACACTTTGCACAATCCAGCTTACCTCCCTTGTACACTTCAGTTTTCCCATACGCTTCAAAACCTTCCGAAGGCGATCTCGCTCAAGCTGCTCATCCAATTCTTCCCCGTCCTTCATAACTGGCTAAAGCACAGCAAAAGATGAATGAAAACCATATGATGCTCAGCTTTTATAGTACTTGTCACAACACTGGTGCAGGAAACCCTCTGAAATAACTGAATCTCTGCAACTTACAATTTTGCAGACATGTATTTACTATAATGACCACTTTCCATATCTGTGCTGGTTTTGACTGGGGTGACAATTGGTATGGGACTGTGTTTTGGATCTGCGCTGAGAACTGGGTTGATTGCGTACAGATGGTTTTACTGCTGCCGAGCAGCCCTTGCACGGCACTAAGGGCTTTTCTCGTACTGCCCTGCCAAAGAGGCGCTGGAGGTGCACAAGCAGTTGAGAGGGGACACATCTGGGACAGCTGACCCCAACTGATCGCAAGGATATTCCAGACCATCCAGTATCRTGCTCAGCATATAAAGCTGGTGGGAAAAGGAGGAAGGGGATAGAACATTTGAAGCGATCGCGTTCGCTGTCCCAAGCCACTGTTATCCACGATGGAGCCCAATGGTCCTGGAGGTGGCTGAACACCTGCCTGCCCACAGAAAGTGGTGAATTAATTCCTTGTTTTGCTTTGCTTGTGCGTGTCGTTTTTGTTTTACCTATTGAACTGTCTTTATCTCAACCCGGTTTTCTCACTGTTACTCTTTGATTCTCTCCCTCATCCTGTGGGTGGGGGAGAGAATGAGTGGCTGCATGGCGCTTGGCTGCTGGGTTAAACCAAAGAGGAATTATCTTTAAAGGGAGTTAACTGACAGAAAATGTTGCATCTTCAACATTTACCGGTCCTACCATTTCCACTTAGCCTGACTAAAGTGAAACAGACTGCTTGTAGCAGTTATTCATTTATGCAAAACTACACCTCAAATTCTTCATTCTCTCTCTGATGGTTATTGTATATTATTTCCGACATTACCTAATATTACACCTAGAGTGAATAAAAGGTTAGAACTGAGTGACAAACCTAATCCTCAGGGCCAGAATATGATCTCTGACCTGCATCATTTACTAATACAGCTGTATTAGTAAATGGTTCAGAAACTGCAGTAATGGGATCTGTGCAAAAAAATGATGGAGTGAATTATCTGAACCTTACCCAAAATTCCAAATTATCTTTCCAAAAGTTCTAATTCTGCACAACTACAACAGGAGACACAGCGTTCTTTAAAGTAAGAGCAAAGCAGATTTTAGCATTAGCATTTTAGAGTAATGAGAGACAAGAACTAATTGTTGCCTCTGCTTTTTTACCTCAAATCTAATCTGCTCTGGATATAGAAAAGCTTCTGCCTTCTAGCAAAGGACTGAAAATTGCAGGCTAATGAGCAATCCTTTTCCTTCCAATTGTGAATGCCTTTTGCGTGTAACTTATTACCAGCCTAAACAGAAATTCATCCTCTCTTTCTATGATGYTGCATGCCCACCATCACTGTAACATTCTACTGTTTTTTGATCTTGCTGGAAAAATAATAGTTAGACTAGATTCGAGCAGCTACAACCCTTGAAAAAAACACTTCCTGTTCTGCGTCTGTGTGTACCAGGGAAGGACCAAAGCCTCTTCTGCCTGCAAGAATTTTAGATGCACAGCAGTTGTGTTACCTGATTGTTGTGGTCTGCCATGACGTGGTATTTCATCCCTGCTAAAGACTTCAGCTGCTTCCCGCAGTGATGACACGTGAACATTTCCTAGAAATAAACAAGGACATAGTGTATGCAACTGTAAATGAAACAAAGTAGTGGAAAAGTCTTTGTGGGAAAGGAGCAGGAGAGCAGAACAATTTATTTGGACCTCTAAGAACAGATTTTATGTGGTCTAAAATTTAGTGGAACAATGAAATAACTAACTGTTGTTCACTATCCCAAATCTTCGGCAAAAGGCTAAGCAAGAAGCACCAAGCACTAGTCTTACACATGTGTAAAGGACTCTTGCTTAGGGACATGATGATGAGATGAAACTGATCTTAAATACAACACCGAACGGTGTGCAGGCATTTCTTGCTGCACAAAAGCTGAAGAAGACCATTGCTTATCTCTCACGTTCTTACCTTCCTGCAATTTACCATATGTTTCTTCAGTCCTTCTACAGTCTTTCTCACCACAGCCCGGCACGTTGGACAGGTAACTCGGCCTTTGTCCTGAATCTCTAAAGACCATTGTTCTTCCATACTACCTGTCAAAGCACAATGTTTAGAATAAAAGTGCTAACACAAGATCTTTTTTATTTTTTCCTTCTACGTGCACAATGAAGCCTAGAAAGAAACAGATCACGTGCTACCAAACTAGTGTCCAGCTGCATTTCAATAGGTGTAGTTCATTTATGGCCATAAGAATGTCATGTCACAAGGCACTCATCACTCCTTTTTGAAGAGCATTTTACACTTTTTAATCTACCATTGCCTTTTGAGGAGTGTTCGTCCACTTGACCAACAGACTCCGTTAATTTCTGTTGCACGATTACTTTAGCATACAGAGTAAACTTTTCTTTCGGCAAAAATGTTTTCATAGTAAAAGCAGTCACAGACCACCAGGCCAAGTTACTAAAAAGCCAGGGAAACGCACCCTGTGTGGCATAGTTTCCAGYTTCTGGCCTCTTCGTGAAATGCCAAGCAAAAAGTTTGGCATAATCCACAGAGATTACAGATTACTGAAACAGCTCATGGGAAGAAAGTGGTTTAGCAGCCATCTGCCTAAATTCTTACCATAATAAGATCCGAAGGCTTTCCTCTTTTCCCAATAAAAGAGGCCCCGGCTGTCCCTCTCCAGGAGGCTTTGGGAAAGGTTTGCGATTCAAACTGCACTTGGCAGAAAACGAGGGTGTTTAATGAGTGCTGTGATCTACAAATACCAGGCCATTTCACTTACTGAATCAAGGCTAATTATTTTTCCAGGATAGACTGCTCGGGTCTCTGTTCCCAGAAAAGGTGATCTGGCAGAACAGCTACAGAATTTTTCCTGCAAACATATTCTGCTGAATAAAAACTAGAAATACTTCTATGAGTTTAATAATACAGCTATTTTAATAGGCTTTTGTTCAGTTCAAAAAGTGATTCCCTCTTCACCATTACATTATGCAATTGCAAGAACACATGGCTCAGGTAGTGTGCAGTCCCTTCAGTCCTGCTCTGCAGTACTGACACAGTGCCAGGACAGCAGCCAGCTCTTCTTTGTCAACAGTAAAGTGAACAACTGAATGGAAATACCAGAAACACAGGTGTTGCTCAGATTCAAATCCTGGAATCACATTTATCTGCTTCATACATAATTCCTAGCGACTGCCTCTTCTTCTTACCTGTGCCATAGCTTTCAGGTTCTTTCTGAACACAATGGCCTTTCGTTCTGGGGTTTTGCTTTGTTTCAGCTTGCTGGTTTTTTCCTGTTACAACACAAACAAGACAAGCCAGAAGACTCAGTTCTGCTAGCTTCATTACAAAAAAACCCAGATTTTTGCTAGAAAGCTGTTATTTAGTCTGATGCCTTGAAGTTATTCAGAAATGTTTAATGCTAGTTTTTAAAGGAATGTCAAGATTATGTTTCCTACTCCCTTTTAAAATTGAGGGCTATTTATAGTGGCAGTTAGTCCCATATTAGTCTCATCCAAATATTTGTAAGCTCTATTGTTGTTCATACACAAAGCTCAGGCAACGGGAACTCTTCACACTGAAACATCCTCTGCGCAGTCTGGCTGAGCCCACGTAATAACAACCAAAATGGAGAGTCTCATTCCTCTACTCATTCCCGTCTTCTTTAGACTAAAAAAGCTTCTTATTGTTTCTGTATTTTCTCATGGGTTATGCTGTTTGCTCTCAACGCCCTGTCGTCCTCAGCTGGCCTGCACGTTTCCCGAAATGCAGCGCGTACTCCTGGAAACAGCATTCCACGTGTGGCCCTGCCTTAGAGCACAAGAATTACTTCACGTGTCTAGGAAGTCTACCGTCCCGCTCAAAGCTCTCAAACATCTGCCTTCACAAAAATAAATTCATATGACCCTGCTGGTCCCTATACAGGGATCTGTTTGATCTGTTATAAATCTTGAATCCTCCTCTGAATCACTGACTCCTGGAAGGTCGTTCTTTGTTTTTCAGCTGTGATAGTATTTCTTCCCAAAGTATATAATCTTTAATTCTACACTGTTTTCTGTTCTATTTTTAAATTGTTTCTCCATTGTCAAGACCACTTTCACTTTTAGCCTTTTCTCCAATACACATGCCATCACTTTCAACTTTGTGCTGTCTACGTACTTCCAAGTCCTTGGCAACAAAAACGATAGTTAGAATTGAATATAGGGACCGACCGTGAACCATCATTCTATACTCCTATTTCACCAAGCTGGTGACCTCATTGTAGAAGACTATCACGTTGATTAAGCACAATTGGCCCTGCATGAATCCGCGTTGACTATTCCAATTTCCCATCTTGTCCTTTGTGTGTTTGGAAATATTTTACAGGATGACTCTCTCCATCAGCTTCCCAGGGACCGAGGTGAAGTTGACTGGCCTGTAGTTCCCAAGATCTTCCTTCTTTCTGTCCTTGAAGATAGGAGTGATATCTTCCCTCTTCCAGCCTCCAGGAACCTCTGTCAGTTGCCATGACCTTGCAAAGATAATCAAGAGTGGCCTCACAATGACATCAGCCAGCTCTCAGCACTCAGTGCAACCCATCAGACCCCACAGGACTTAGAATCATAAATTGTTTAGGTTGGAAAAGCCCTTTAAGACCAGCAAGTTCAACCATTCCCCCTGCGCAGCCAAGGCCACCACTACCCCATCTCCCGACATGCCACAGCCACGTGCCTTTCAAATCCCCCGAGGGATGGGGACTCCACCATTGTCCTGGCCAGCCCATGCCAGGGCCAGACAGTCCTTTTGGGGCAAAAACTGCTCCCAGCATCACATCTAAACCTGGTGCACCTTGAGGCCATTTCCTCTTGTCCTGTCACTCGTTCCCCAGAAGCAGAGCCCGACCCCCACCTGGCTCTACCATCCTGTCGGGGAGTTGTAGAGAGTGAGAAGGTTCCCCCCGAGCCTCCTGTTGTCAAGGTTGAGCCCCCTCAGTCGCTCCTGGTGTTCCAGCCCCTTCCCCAGCTCCGTTCCCTGCCCTGGACATGCTCCAGCCTCTCAATGTCTCTTTTGTCAGGAGGGGCCCAGAGTTGTCCCCAGCACTGGAGGTGCCCCAGCAGTGCCAGCACAGGGGACAGACACTGCCCTTGGCCTGTTGCCACCGCAGTGCAGCGACAGTCCAGGTGCCATTGGTCTCTTGCCCACTTGGGCACAGCTGGGCTTGTGTTGAGCCACTGTTGACCAACACGCCCAGGGCTTTTACCAGCTCCTCTGCCCCAGCACGGAGCACTTAATGGGGTTATGGTGACCTAAGGGCAGGACCTGGCACTTGGCCTTGTTGATCCTCACGTCACTGGCCTTGGCCCATTCCAGTTTCCTGTCCCAATTCCTCTGCAAAGCCTTCCTGCTCTCTAGCAGATCCACAGCCCACCCCATTCGGTGTCATCCGTGAACTTACTGAAAGTGCACTCAATCCCCTCATCTAGATTGTCAGTAAAGATATTAAACTGGACTGGCCTGATACTGGGCCCTAGGGAGCACGACTGGTGAGTGGCCCCAGACAGATGTCACTCCATTCTCCATGACTCTCTAGGCCCAGCCATCCAGCTAATTTTCTACCCAGCAAGAATTCACTTGTCCAAGCCACAGGCATCCAGTTTCTCCTGAAGAAAGATGTGGAAAATGGTGTCAAAAGGCTTTACAGGTAGATAACATCCACAGCCTTTCCCTCATCTATTAAGTGCATCACCTTTGTCACAGAAGGACATCAGGCTAGTCAAGCAGAACCTGCCATTCCTAAGCTCATTCTGCCTGGGCCTGGTCACTGGTTGCCCTGTAGATGCCACATGATGGTACCCAAGATAATTTGCTCCATGACTTTCCCCGGCACTAAGGCCAGAGCAACAGGTCTGTAGTTTCCTGCATCCTCCTTCTGACCCTTCCTGCAGATGGGTGTCACACAGGCTGACCTCCAGTTCTCTTGAACTTTCCCACTTAACCAGGACTACCGGCAAATGATTCGGTAAATCCAGTATGTTTAAGTTCTCTAACCTTTTCCTCCTTCATTGAGTGTAGGGCTTCCCTGTTCCAGACTTTCCCTCTGTCTGGTCTTAGGCTCCTGGGATTCCTGAAGGATTCCTTTAACTGAGAAAGATCGAGGCACAGGAAACAGTGAGTACCTCAGTCTTTTCCATGTCATTTGTCACCAGCTCCCCTGCTCCGATGAGGGAGGTCTTCCCTTTGCTCTTCATTTACTTGCAGAATCCTTTCTTGCTGCCGTTCAAAGCCCTTGCCAATTCAAGTCCAGGTTCACCTTGACTTTCCTAACATCCTTGCAACACTGGACAGTAAATGTACACTTCTGTGTCATCTGCTCGCACTTTCACTGCTTGTACACCTTCTTTTGCACCTAACCACTGACTGACAAATCTTCTGAAGCAATGAAAGACCTATGTCTTTCATTATCAGGCATTTCTCCCCTTGGTCTCTGGCAAAAGAAGTGTTTGGGTTTGATTTCTTCTTAACAAACCTATATCGCTGTTATCGTCTACTCAATCTCCAGATGTTTACAAGTAACGTGTCTGATTATTTAGCCTATAATCTTTTGGGAAACTGAAATGATGCAGACTGGCCTATACTTCCCGTAATTCCCTTCCTCCCTCCCTTTGAAGGACTTCAGAGACAGATTGTGATTACATTAACTTCCACTGTAAAGCAGACACAGCTTTGTAGAACAAAACATTCAGAATCAGAAGAGTTTGAAGACTGCAGAAGATGCCATTTGGGCAGAGAAGTCTGAAGTACCTGGAGACTTGCAGTTAAGAATTACAAGTTATTTGTATTACCCGAAATCTTCTGCTTCTTCTTGGGAGAGTCTTTAACATCTTTGCCTTCCCTTTGCTCAGATTTCCTCTTGCCTTTCAATAGTACTTCTCCTGATAATTAAGAACAGAAATGCTTCAGTCTCTGTACTTGGTAGGGATAACAGCTTTGAGTCTACTGCTGAGTCTACATCTTTCCCTTGTATTCAATAACTAGTTAAAAAAAAAAAAAAGTTCTTGTAAGGCACCTGGACATGAGTGAACTAGACACAAGCTTCAAACTCAGCAACATTTAGGCACCCTACAGCGTGTAATCCTGATACAGCGGGTATGGAAGAAACAGTGCCACAGCATGGCCTGGAAAAATAATGCTCCTCAGGAAAAGAGCCAGCACTCACACAAAAAGGAGCATAGAGAAACTCAAATATTATCATGCCTGTCCTGAATATTTCCAACCCTATAAAAGTCTTATCTCCATGAACACAGGAAAACACAGAAGCACAGTGGTAGGGCAGGGAACACCAATTATGGACTTAAAAAAACTGACAGCTTCCTCCTGGATAACGGTAAGTCAGTGGGAAACCTTCTCTGAAGCACCCTTCGGAARGGGCAAGGCAGGGAGCAGTGGGAAGGGGTAGTGTTGTGTTAATGCCCAGGGTTAATGTAGCATATGGGCTCTGAGTGGAGAACCATTCAGGATTATACAACATGTGGTATCAAAGGGAGGGAAAGAGAGAGGATTACCCCATGTAGAGTTGATCAAATGTGGGAAAACAGAGGTGTAAGTCAATAGAAAAGAACACCTACTAGTAAATAGGTGACCAGTCAGTATACAAATCTGGTCATGTCTGACACCAAGCATCGTCTGTGAGTATGAGCCTGTCTGTAAGCAGGTCTACGTCTGCCACTGGCATGACTCTGCGGGCCTCAGAGGCCAGGTACTCAATGGCCTGAGTATATAAGGATGGAGGCTGCTGGTGCTGATCTGTGCGGCTCCCGTTTATGCATGTTTTATGTCTGTGCTTGTTCCTACAGGAATACATACTCAGTCTTGCTACTGACTAGATCTAAGGGAGCTACAGCAATCTTGCTTCTTTCAAGCTACCAGCTTTGCCTCTCCCCACCACAAAATGGAATACAGATTTTGACTTAGAGGCAAGAAGAAACAGCATTTAAAAAGATTGAAGTTTTGGCTCTCTGCCACAGAACGAGTTTGGAAACCAGCTCCTAGGCCAGAAAATCTGAATGTTCCTACAATAACCGTTCTAAACCAGAAAATTGTAACTGACGAACGTGAGAAAATAAAGGCAAATAAAGACATCTTTAAAAAATAATAATCTACCAACCGAAAAAGCTGTGTCTAGTCCCAAGTACTGCTGAATGGTCCCCCTCGCCACATCTTTAGTGTCGAYGTTTTTATTTTTAAAGCTCTCGAAGCGTATTTCCGATACGACTGGCATAACTYTTAAACATATCTCTTCCACAGATAAAACTGAGTTCAGCCACAGAATCATTATTTTAATAGATAAGTCACTCAACAGGAGCTGTGTAATGTCAGAGAATTATACYCATATTTGTGCAGTGGCGGAAGCTTATTTCTTCTCATACTTGAGCAGCAAGGTTTTCATTTGGGTTGAACTGCAGCACACCTTTCAGAAGGAGATTAATCTCTCACAAAAGAACCAGAGAGAAAATAGTTTTGCCTTGAACTAACAGTGATAAATACCTTTATTTTCTGAAGATTTGTTAATACTGTTTTTCACTCCTCTCATTTCCAACCAGTAAGCAGGCCTGCGAATGGTCCGCTTGCTTCTGGACTCTCCACTCCCGTTCACTGGGCCCTTCGGTGAGGCAGGAGAAACGTTGGTGACTGTGTCATCATGGTTACTGTTCATTCCTAGAACAGTAGTTTCCACCTCCTCGAGTTGCTTAGACCTGGAAAATGTCAAGTTGAATTCCTACATATATGGACTCATACTTGTATACGGATGCATACACACACCACCACGATAACTTGACACAAAACATCCTTTTCATCTTCCCAAGTATTGTAAAAATTAACCTTACAGTTCACTGGTTCTCGTGTATTTTGGGAACTGGAAAATGCCAGTAAGATAAAACATCCTCAGTGTTGTTTTTTGTACATCTTTTTGATAATGACATAAGTAAGCTCTCAAGAGGAACAGAAAAAATATTCCTCCTGCCTCAAATTTTCAACTTTAGAAGCAGGCATGAATGAATCTCAACTTAGAAATATTTATCCTTGGAATATAAGAATTTTTCTGCAGTCCATCATTACAAAAGAGACATTTTCCATTCCACAAAGGGCAAGATCTCCTTCAGTCTCTATTCTCAGAGTCAGGGCTGGCACTACACAATTAAAAGATTTGATCTAGTAAGAATTTTAACTGGCAAGGCTTTCAGCAATGAGGACAACTGTCCAGTATAGCCTACAAACCACATTACATTAAGACTACTTTAGACTCATCAGCAGCACTGAATTATTTTCCTAGAGATCAGACGGAACTTTGCTTCACTGTTCCAAAGTATTTCTATCAGCTTGAAATGCCTGGACATCTCTGTTTCTGACAGCAAACTGATGAGGTGTCAAAGTAACACAGAATATCTATTCTCTCAGCAAATACCATTTTTGTAAAGAGAAGAGAAAGGAAACAGAAACATTTTGCAATGTATCCCACTGGGACTATCATTCACAAACTGGAACAATCAGATCACTTGAGTGATGACTGTGATGGCCAGTCTAATTACTGCTCTCCCACACCCTGAGCTGTGGAGCTCACCTTTTAACACATCAATCCAGGAATTAATAAGACACTGATGGCACCAGGTCAGATCATTACGTACTATGATTCAGGAGGTACTGTAGAAGCATTGGGAGAGGAATTCTCAAATCAAAGTCTTTCTGTTGCAATCCCACCCAAAATATATAGATTTCAGAACAACATTTGGTCTTGGACTTATAGTACGTATGTTCASGATGCTAAAAGCCTTAAAAGAAAAAAAATCCAAGCCAATACACACTGAAGTGTCAGAAAAGCGCTTTTCCTACAAGCCAATAAGCAAAGTCAGCTGAGACTCTCATAACACTAATTAAAATTGTTGCAACTCTTAAAATTCAGAATATTATATAAAGTCCTGATATGGTTTTTCCAATAGGATTCTCTCAGCTTTTTTTCTCGCCCTCAATCAAACTAGGTAAAAAAACATTCACATACTTTTTATTTCCCGAGGACTTCTTGACCTTCTGTTTTCTGTGATGTCCAGTCCCCGTGTCCTAACAAAACAGAACGACTGATGTTAGCAGCGTAATTTGTCTTCTTTTGGCATGTTTCACTATGCAGCCAAGTACAATCACCTGCACTTTGAGGATGCAAATACACCATCCTTTGAAAAGCAAACCGCTGTTTTCTGTAAATGGAAGTGCTTAACATTTCCAACTTCTACTGAATTGGAACCGGAATTAAAATAGGGACCAGACTTCCGCACTCCCCATTATGAAAGCCATTTTTTTCCCTTGCAATGGGACACGATGGAGTGTTCTTTATCTCCAGTACATTCACCCATATGTGCTTTCTGCCTACACTTTACCACATGATGATAAATATTTTAGATCCTAATTTGCTAGTTTGTACATAGCACTTAATTTTCCTTAAAGAAGTAATTCTTGCATTTAGCCTGTCAAGAATGCTGTCTCCAGTCTCCCTCACGACCTCTTTTCCTTTTTCATCTCACTTTGTCATGCTCCATCAACTACCCAGATGTTCACTTTATCCACATCACAGAACCCTTTTTCTTATTAACAAAGATTTTTTTTTTGCCACCTATCACTTACTACGCTCCTATTAAGACATGTAATTTAACACATGCGTCTAAATGCACATTTCCAAGTAGGTACCAACAACTGCTTTGCTGTATGTTGCCTCTACCATGTGAACAATCACTTATCGCCACCTTCTCCCAAATACTAATCATGACTCAATGCCATTCTTCGTTGGAAAAGCCAGGACAAAAACATTAGTTTTACAGAGTAGAAAATAAAAACCATTGTCCAGTAGAAGTATATGGAATACCAATATGGTAATCTAGGGAACAAAGGCAGAACAAAGGTATTGTTTTGCCATGTGCAGGAACTGGCTAAGAAACTGGAACAGCAGAAAAAAACCTCCACCCAAACAAAAAAAAAAAAAAAAAA